TCAAACTAATTTAAAACTCAGTGTCAAGACCACAGCAGCCACCTCTAATACACAGCAATCATTTTCTGTCAATAACTCAACATCAGAGTACTGTGGTACCAATGACTTTTTTTAGGAAACTATAATTTCCAAAGCAAATGGTTTCCAGCTGGCCCTGAGGACAGATCTTATCCAGCTGTAAATACAAACTGGCAGATATTTTTTTCTGCACAAGAGAAGAACAGAAAGCTGCAATAAATGATAGCATACTAATAATTATATTTACTAAATACCCTGTGATTTTGAAATGAACCACCATGAAATACAATCCACAGTGCCAGAGACAATAAAAGATCCCTATTGTTGGTTCTAGAACTTTGAGAAGTTCAGGCATGCTTTATTTTCCACAGTCTTGCTCAGAGCAAACATGGATTTGGCCTGGAGGAGACAACACCCAGTAAAAATCCCCTGTGGAAGGAGACTGTATCTACATACTGGATTCACCAAAAAGAGAACATTAAGATTCACAGAGGGAGAGAAAGGAAGAGAGAAAGGAAGAGCAAAAGGAAGAAAGAAAGAGCTCTGCCTTTCTGCAGCAGATGGCTAGGTGCTCAGCTAGAGGAAACCTCTGGTCAGTCTTCTAAACAGGAGAGCTCTTTCTGCAATTCCCATATTGAATAAATTAGTGACAGCTCAAGAAAAAGAAACCAGGTGACAGCCACACAGATTCATAATTCTCTCTGGATCAAGGGAGCTGCAATCTTTTCAAATTCAAAATGGAAGTATTTCATTAGGCTTTCTGCTTTTCTGTAATAATTTTTGTTCCCTCTGTACTTTACACATAAATAAAGCCATTTTTTTCTAGCTTGCCTCAAAGTTCCACAGATCTAGCTTCCAGCCCACAAATGTATTAACTTGCATGATTTATCACACACAGACAAAATACTTGCAAAAATACTTTCAGCACAGCTGGCTCAGCCTGTTCTCTTTTTGTGTGTCCTGAAGGAGACCCTACAGAAGGCACTCCCCAGCCCTGAATACTTCCATGCACCCCTCTCCAAAACCCTGCACTATTGCTGTTGTCTTCTGGTTGATACCAGTTCCTAACCCTCTGTATCGTAAAAATTCATTTGCTCTTTATTAGTAATGTGAGTTCTTCTGACCCATTAGGCTTATTATGAATTATAGTCATTGATGGTTTGATTCTGCATTTTAAAATTAATCCATGCCATCTCATCTGCCCCATATTATCAAGATCTCCAGAAAATACTGGCAGGGGATTCATGCACTACCTGAACTTTAAGCTGGAGGCCTCTCTGGTCTAGCCTTGCCCAAGATATCCCAGGGCATGCTGAATTACACCAGATACCTATCTTTTAGGCGACTTTTTGCACCAAAAATGTCTACAGAATTGTACACAATACAAACATACACAATTAAAAAATGACTCAGTTATATGCATTCTAATCTAATTATGGAAGTCAAACCAGTCATTGCAACTGCTATATAAGAATGAAAACAATTTAAGACTATTATTCCCTAAGAATGCCCTGATACTCACCAGAAACAGGACATCTTTAGTAGTAAAGAGTATGTTGAATGGGAAGCTGGGCAAAAATTGAACCAGCATTGAAAACAAAATGCAGTTTAAAAACTATTTGCTTTTCAGGGTTATCATACAACTTTGCATTATCTTTTAGTAATAATGCAAAATAACCAATGAACCATTTTTCTCATTTGTCCTTTAGCTGTCTTCAGCTAAAGAATATGGATCATTCACTTTTGGACTTCAAGCTCACATACAGCAAGAAAATCCAAAGTATATTGATTGCTTAAAGTATATGGACAAACTGCAGTTATTTAAGTGAATATTTAAAAGAAACTAAAATTGGAAGTTCTTGTGCCTGGTAAAAATTTCAAAACATGACATGCAATACTACTTCCCTTTCAAGACATGGCCTCTTCCTATTACTAAATTAATTTGGAGCATGTGCTTGAATCCTTTTCAGGAAGCATGGTGGGAGGACAGAAGTTGTGGATGCCCTGCTACTGGAAGTGTTCAAAATCGGGCTGGATGGGACTTTGAGCAAACTGATGGAGTGAAAGGTGTTCCTGCCCACAGCGAGGTGGTTGGACTAGATGATCTTTGAAGGTTTCTTCCAACCCAAACCATTCTATGATTCTATGCACCCAAGTTAAGACCAATATGAAAAGGTGAAGAAAATTATTCATTTGTGCACAGACAAAGCGAAAGGCCACTGTCTTCAGTTCAGACACCTTGAATATTTACAATACTGACCAACACACTGATTCCTGCTTTAGCATCTCTTCAATGTTCTCAACAAAAATGTAATTTGCAAGGTATGTCTTGATGGTTGACTACATTAAGAAAATATTATAAATCCATCCCTTATTGTTGTAGTTCTTGACATGTAATATCTTTTTAAATAATGGACAGCTAAATGGCTTTCATCACAAATTTTCTATAGACAGATTTCCCAAAGCCAATCCCAGTGTTGGTCAGCTACTCCCTCTGCTGGATTAAGCCACAACGTGTCTGCCATACCTATGCAATTTTTTTATTCAAGGGGTTTTTGCCTTTATTTTCCTTCTTTTTCAAACAAACACAGACAACTTCTTCTCCTTTTGATGTTCTGAAAGGTTTCCAACACAAGAAATGCAAACTACACAGCCATATACTGGATTGCAATTCCTCTGTTTAACATTTTAGAGTGTTAATTACTTGATTAAGGAAGGAATTTTAACACCTGATCTTGCAATCCTCATTCAGGTACTCTTCAGCGTTGCTTGGACAACATGTAAAATTTTGAACAACTATATCCGTTATGCCTGTACAAGTCTGGCTATTTCTATCAGACTTCTACAAGGCTCTACACGATGTGAAAGAGTCCATCATCAGTATTTCTCACCCTTTCTTCTTCCTAAAACTTTAGCCATTTACACACTTCATGGCAAAATTAATGTGGATCACATAGCAGAAAATAAAAAACTCTGCATCCATATTTAATTCTAACATTTTAAGAATACGTCTACTTACAACAGTGAAGGTTGTCTTACACAGAGTGTTTGCAGGATTACAGTTTGCCTGACTTCTAATGAATACTGTTTAAAAGTAACTTTGGAGTAGAACTGAAAGGCAGGAAGGAAATGCTCAGATGCAGTAGGGAATCCTAAATTATTTGGACAAGATTACTTGGACTCCAATTGTGTTTGGATCATGTCCAAACCACAACCTCCTCATAAAAAGACTTAAGCAAATGGCCATCTTAGAACTCTATATCCTTAATTTTGAGAATATGTGTATAAATGTTCAAAGGTCTCATCCTGGCTTTCATGTTCCTTAATACAAGGACCAGTATCATCTCATTTATCTTCACACCATGCATACTGTAACTTCCTAAAGAAATTAAAATATAATAAAATTAAACCAGAAACATGGCTGGATATCAGCAAGCACCAACCTCTAAGAAACAAGAAAAAAAAAGATTAAAAAATCTTACACAGGGTAATTTTTAACTGGTTCTTTCTTTTAAGAATCTCACTTAAATCTTATCCTTAACTCTTTCATTTTTAGTTCATTAACTTAATGCCACTGCTGCTGTAATGCTGTGTATAGCTATAATAGCTATAACTTTTGCTTGGAAAGGTAGACATGAGCTATTTTTGAAGTGCTGAATCAAGAACTACACCTCATGCAGACATATATTTTGTTTTTCTGTGCTTAAAAAACAAAGAATTATCTAGAGACAGACTCTCAGGAGAGGTACTCGGTCTGCATGGTAGTACTGCTCTCTAATTATTCGAATTGGCTCAAGATTTCTTTATTAATGTTTCCATGGAAATCTTGGCTGTAATAGCTGCTTGCAAATGAGGTCTATTTTGGTAACTTAAAAGTATCAGGATGTCTCTTAATCTTGTACTTGTGCATTGTGCTTTTCTTTGTTTGAAGGAAACTGAAAAACAGCTGCTGCAGATTTGGAAACAGGCAGAGATGAACGTGTCAAATGAGGAGGAAACCAACGGAATACAGAGAATCACCTTAAGAATCCCAAGGGCAAACCCATCAACTCTCTTTCCCCCACAGTCCTTCATGTTGTGCCAGTTTCTAACATTTCATGGAAGGTTATTTACTCCTGTGCCAACAAAAATACCTAATCCACCAGTACCTGAAGCGTGGTCCAGCCCCACCTTTATCTTTGACAGGCCATCAAAAACCACGGATTGCACCCACAGCACTCAAAGAGGAGGGAATTATCTGCTTGAAACCTAGAGGTGCTTCTGTAATTAACACTGAAGAACTTAAGCGTATCAAGGAAGGTGCCAATGCAGTTCACTGGGTTTGCCTTAATTTCAATCCTCGTTTAATACGTTTAAAACACGTACTAAAAAGCAGAACGGCCTTGCTCCATCTTGTTTCTATTTTTAAAGTTCTCATAAATTGTTCGAGTCAGGCTACCGACAAAAGCAGCAGAACAAAAACACGCCCTAGGCCAGCAGAGGGCGGTGTTAAGGGGTGTGAGATGCCCTGGCCAGCGCTGAGGGGTGCAACGAGGACTCTGCTGAGGGGCCAAGGGGACCTTCCATGGGGACGGCGGGGCGGGCGCCTCCCTCCCACAGATGCTACCGGGGGAGTTTGTGGTCCCATCGGCTCCATGGGGGATGAGGCTGGACAACCAGCGGGTGGTGGGGTCCAGAGGCGGGGGAGGGCGCTGACTGCCCCACCTCTGGGGACGATGTACCCCCGCGGGGGCTGCCATGGCGCAGGACCGCCCTTGCCTCGGGCCGGCCTGGGGGCGCGGGTGATTCCTTCCTCTGAAACAAAAACTGGATCGCAGCGTTGTGAGGGCCGAGCCTCCCCCGCGTCCCGCACGCGGAGCTGCCGGCTCAGCATCCCCCCGGGCGCCCGGGGGAAGAGAAGGGCAGATCCGGGGCACATCGCCGGCGGAGCGGCGCCGGATGGGGCGGTGTCTTCCGCGGGCGGCGCAGCCGCGGCCGGGGCGATGGGGGAGCCGCGGGGCGCGGCGCTGAGGGCGGCGGCGGCCGCGCTGCTCGGGGCCGGCGCCTGCTACTGCCTGTGGCGGCTGACGGCGGGCGGGCGGCGGGCGGGGGCCGTGCGGGGGCCGCCGGCAGGTGAGGGGCAGGGCAGGGCAGGGGCAGGGCAGGGCGGGGCAGGGCAGGCGGTCCCTCCCCCCCGCGGTGTGCGGTGAGGGCGGCGGAGGCTCCGCGGGCCCGGGGGGTTCCCAGCCCGCGGCCGCTGCTCGGGGGCGGATCCGCGCCCTGCGGGAGGCGGTGCCTCAGTGCTGCTCGCCGGCCCTCCGAGAGCAGTGCGGCGCTTTGGAGGACTCTGGAGCGTAGCTTATTTTTAGAAAAGTCTAATTTGTGTTGGTTTTTGGTTGGTTGGTTTTTTGGGGGGTTTTTTGTTTGTTTTTTTTTTCAAGTCCCCTAAAGCGTGCGTCTGATCACTGTATTTACTTAATGGGCTGATTTGCTCTTATGTTATTAAAGTTATTTGTGTTTCCCCTATAATTCAAAGTTAAAGTGTTTAGACGAGGATGAGGGTGAAAACCAATCTTGTTTTTGAAGTGAGCTCTTGGATTATCATCATTATCTTTGACTTTTTTTTTTTTTTTAAACCCCCAAAGAATACTGTGGTGTTTGCCTGGTGAGATGGTGGCAGCAGGTGGAATTTGAAGGACCGGTTAGCTTCTCAGGAGACATCTCAAGCCAGCTATGACTAGTCCAGCAGTCATAGATCGGGTCTCCAGGCTCTTCAGCTTAGCTAAATAGTTCTGCCTCCTACTGGGTGAAAATGGCCTTTGATGGCATTTGTGTCACATCTTCCTGACTCAGAAACAGCCTTCCTCAGTTGTTTAAGTGATGCCATGACCAGCAGTATTCTTAACATTGCGGCTGTTACTTTGTCAAAGGACCTCAGGGTACTAGCAAAATTGTCATTATTATAATTTCTTGAAGTAGTAGTCTGCAAATCAGAAGTTTTGTTTTCCTACAGTGCCCAGACAGCTTTCCACATTTCATTTCATAAGCCACTAGGAAAACAAAACGCCAAACATGTTTGGTGAATATTCCTAATAATTTTTAATGGGAGATTTGCTGTTCATTAACCAGAGAGTAACGTACCTAAGGCTCTAACTGTGCATTCCTTTTATTCTCTACTTTGAAAAGAGGTAATTAGAGGACTCAGTGAAAAAGGATGGAAAGCTTGCTGTTGTAAAACACAGTCTTTTTACCATGACATTATGCTTGGGTACAGTCAAACCTAGAAAAATGTGTCCTGCAACTGAGAGCTAAATTTCAGCTTTGTAAAAAACACTAAGGGTAACTAAGTGAAATGTCTCAAACTTGATACCAAGTATTTAATTTTTGAACACTGACAGACAGCAGTCCTCCAGTGTCAACCCATGGCATGGATGCAGATGCTCTACAGAAACTGATTCATTTGCTCCAGGCCACAGATGATCCATTAATTCAAGAGCAAGCTTTAATCACTCTCAGCAACAGTGCTGCCTTCTCTGTAAATCAAGTAAGTATTGTTCTGTAGAAAACAACATGTCCAATGCCAGCCAGTCTGGCAGATGAGAGGTGCTGTTTTGCTGAAGTGACACAGGACAGAAAGCTACGATAGCTTGTGCTCTAAAATCCATTTTATGTCTATGCCTTAATTTCTGCTAGCCCAAATAATATAATTTACCAGCTTCACAGAATTCATCAAAGCATAATGTTTGGACAACCTAAAGTCCTTACAGAGTTCTCTATTTGAAAGTGCTGTAAATATACTTTTTTTTTGCTTACAGTTATGTAATGTTAGTGAAAGGGTTGAATTGGAGGTTAACTGCTTTCAGTTTCACATCTGCAATTTACTGAGATAAACTAATTTTTTATTCTCACAAAGTTTTATGCTGTTTATATATTAGTAATTTTCCAACTATCCAGGTATCTTCCAATCAATTGGACATAGGATGCAGAAAAACTTTGAGCTGGATGCAGATTTTCATGTCTTTGTAAAAGTTTAACCTCCAAGGTCCCACTCTTATTTTTTTTTTATTTTGTATGGTACTTATGACAGCTGTTTCTTTTGGCTTCTCAAAACTGTTTTCTTAATATAAATCTGATAGAACAGATTGTAACTGAAGCCCAAGGCCCATTGGCCCATTCTTCATTTTCTTGAAAACAGTATATTTTTTTTCAGTGACAGTTAGAGTCTAAGTGAGAAAGATTAAAACAGTAATCAAATCAAGTGTAATGGAAATGAAAAAGTTTCAGAACTTCTATCATAATATGAAGCTGCATCTTGAAATTCTGTTCTGTTCAGTCAAGACTTTTAGGTACTGTGACCTGGCTCAGCTGTTCTATAAAGTCATTATGCAATAACTTTCTTTGATTCTTTATAATCTAAAATACTTTAAGCATGCTTTGCAGGCCAGATTTTAAAAGTAAAGGCGTTGTGTCATTGTCTAGTAACATTAAATAATACTTTGTCCCTAAGCAGGACCATTCCTAATTTCAGGGGAGGCAATAAAACAGTATCTGCCAACCGTCTCTCTTTAAACAGACCACCAGTCTGTTCTGGAAGTCTTCATTCACACATATAATTTTTGTTAAAATGGAAACTTTGAGAAAAGCCTTCAGCATTTAATTTAAAGTTTCAAAAACTGTATTAAATATCTTTTATATTTCAGGATATAATCCGAAGTTTGGATGGCCTTTCTGTTATTGGAGGGATGCTCTCTGATTGCGTTCCCAAAGTTAAAGAAAAAGCACTAAATGCGCTTAATAATTTGAGTATGAATATTAAAAATCAGGAAAAGATACAGGTAAGTTTCTTAAAAGGAAAAAACAAAGTAACCAAGGCACAGGAGATAGTACAGGACTTTCAGCATGTTTGTTAAAGACAAGCCAGGATGCCAAAATGTTTTGATGAGAGGCATACGAGTCAGCAGGTTGGATGATCTGTGCATCCCAAGAGTGAAAAGATAACTTTGAAATTAATTCCTTCACTGGCACTTACTTTTAGTTTAAAAGACAGGAAACTAGGCAGCTCGTGTTCAGCTTTCACCAAATGTTATTAAACAGAGATTGTTTAATAAATAATTTATAAATCTGCTAAATTTGTAGTGGAATTATGTGAGGCAAGATGATTTCCAAACATCCCAAGAACAGCAGCAGTGGTTGTTTAATACAATGGATTGCAGACTGAACTTGGCAGGACTCAGGCAAGGGAGAAGAAAACAGCAATTGAGCCCCTGGGTTTGTGTGAGACCAGTTTTTCAGGTGATATTTTCATCTTTAAAGAACAGTGTGTATACATGAATGCCAAGTTCCACTGGTAAATATAGTGGATGCCGTGGAAATAAAGGGACTAAGCATCAAGAAAAAACCCTACTTTTTGTCAGTATCAGATTAATCAATAGATCAAGAAGTGTCCAGGCAGAGAGCTGAGGCAGATTTGAAGACTTTCACTGTTTTTTTTTTCAGTAGCTTGAAAAAAAGGCAGCGTGACTGTGTGTGGTAGTTTGCAGGATCTTTAGCAATGGACAACTTTTATTACATACATTTTATAGACATAGTGCTTGCCAATATTTGTATAGGTAGAAAATAACTCCTTTGGTAAAGGCAAAGTAACTTTTTTCTTAGTTAGGACTCCGAGATTTATTGTATATTGTCATCCAAAAGAAAATTTAGTAAAAATAGTTGTTAATGTCAGTTGTCATCACTGTTCCTACAGAGTGCTCCAGTAAATGAGCCACATGATTGGAAGAAAGGATTTCATTCCAAGGCTTATCCTTAGCTTGTTCTCAACATTGAAGATATTAGTCGCTATAAGTGATTTTTTTTATAACTCATTAAAGCAGCTGTGCCACTTCTGAGATGGAGTGAAAGCAATTTAGGTTTTCAGAGCAATTTATGCTTCAGAAAGGTTAGTGGGCTCTGTCTGCTTCTGTCGTGCCAACAGAATGTTTGAATGTATTTAAACCTAAAAACTACTTGTTTATAAGATCCTTCACCATGCTACATATTCAGCCAGCAAAGTTCAGGAGGTATTTATGCAACTGTAGCTAGGCCATGGATACTGTTTGTGAACAGAAAATATGCTTATATCAAAAACTGTCTTTTCTGCATCTCCTTCCCCTTTTCCCCAGGTATATATTACACAAGTTTGTAGGATCGTTGAGTCAGCTCCCCTCAACTCTGATCTGCAGCTAGCTGGACTCAGGCTGTTGACAAATATGTCTGTTACCAATGACTACCATCAAAAGATGATAAACTCAATTCCATGCTTTCTTCATTTGCTTTCAGAAGGAACTGAAAGGACACAGGTACTGAGAGGTGTTATTGTTACAAGCCATTTATGAAGCTGCTTTACTTGCCTCCTTTTTTACTGTTTTTGTAAAAGAGTTGAGACTGTGCTAAGGAAAACCAAAACCAAATATTCATGAATGATAGCAGATACAGATTTTGTGCACTAAAATATGGATCTGTATTACTTCCACAATATAAATTCAAAAAGGAGGGGGGAAGGGAATCTTGGTAGTGGAACCATTGGGCTTTAGCTCTACTAAAGCAGTGCAGGATGCAGGGTGTCCTGTGCCTTTGCTATAACTCCAGAATTCTCTCCTGCTCTCAACATTGCTACTGCACCACAGAGCAAAGAGAATCTGCATGTGAAAGGGTTCACTGATGCATGAATCTCTAGGGAAACATGCTGAGCAGTGATCCTAAGTTATGGACTTCTGTTCCCTTATGCCTATTACCTCTTGCAACCCTCGTGACTGCAGTGGGAAATCGTGCTTACTTGTGAATTACTGTTAATGGCCAGTCTTCGCGAGCGAAGATTTGGGAAAGGTCATTAACCCTTCGAGCCTGCGCAGTGGATTTTTTAGGTGAGACACAGCGTGCGCTGAACTGAGCCCACCCTTTAATCCTGAGGTTCATCTGCCGGGGCCGAGTGAAACTCGGACAGTGGCAGCGAGGGTCTCAGAACGTAGGTTTGTTTAGAGTGACCTTCTCTTAGATGGATTGCCTCACAGGGCTAACGAGCTCCATCTGCCCGGGGGGCCGGGAATCGAACCCGGGTCGCAGCGGTGAGAGTCCTGCACCCTAACCACTAGACCACCAGAGGCCCCCTGAATTACTGTAATATTGAAACAAGAGCTTCAGTCAGGGACCAAACAGCATTTATTCAAGATGTTATGGTACCATCAGTGTACGTGGTTGCTCTCTCAGATCAAAGCCAGTTTTCTGAAACACAGATTTCCACTAAACATAGCACACCTATTTTACTTAAGTACAATAAGGAACTTGGCCTTTCCCCAGTGTTTAAAGACTAGTGTCACAAGGTCCAAGAAAGTACAAAGGTACATTTGTTTATGCTTCTTATCATTTTAAATATAGCACTTAACCATCCTCTCTGTATTTTAAAAATATTCTGCAGTTTGCCTACTGGGAGTTGTCTATAGATCTTGCCTTATTTTGATGTTAAAGTCAAACTGAATTTGCTTCTAACCTTGGTTTTCCCCTATATCAAAGAAGTGCACAACTCAAGGTGTTAGTTGACCCATTCTACCTTTTCCTGTACAAGTCAACATTGACATTATTGATGCCTATTACTGCTGTACTTACTGTTTTGGAGCTTGTAATGAACTTGTATGCTCCTCATTTCAGATTCAAGTTTTGAAAGTACTTGTGAACTTATCTGCAAACCCAGCCATAACAAGACATCTTCTCAGAGCTCAAGTAAGGTTCTTGCTGCTTCATTTTATTTTTAGAATATATACACGTGTACCTGTTTAGATATGTGCATGCACTAGAAGAATTTTAATGTATTAGAAATATATGTGCAATTCCAGAGTAAAATTCTAGGCAGTACTTGGTTAAAAGCAGTAGTGAGAAGTGCACATTCTTTCACAGGCTGCTTTCTTCCAGAGGGTAATGGAATACAGATGCAGTACTTGCAGAGAGACAGGCACAGAGCCCTACGGCCTTGGAGACACTGGGTTGTACTTCTGGTGCACCATTCCTGATAATCAATGATAACATGCAGAAGCCTTTCCACTAAAGGGGTAGTACTGAGAACTTCAGTTTGTAATATGTATGAGGAACCCAAAACCTCATTTCCAGGCACACAGTCAGTATATAGATTGAAGACCAGGAGCAGACATCAAATAGAACCAGTAGTGTAAATGATCCTTCTCAATAGGTGTTTCTACAGCCAATATACTGTACCAAACCCAACCCAATTCCACTGAAATCCCCACCCCTTTACTCAAATGCAGTCATAAAGTTATTGTCTCTAAGTGAACTTTCCCTGTGCATCTACTTACATCTTCATGGAGAACTTTGGGACATTTGCTGTGCTGGCCTTGGCACACGGGTTTGTTTCAGTTTCATTCCCTCACACAAAAACAAAGAGTCAGAGTTGGAATGGTGCTGCATCCTCTTCCCCAAAGTAACTTTCTTAAAACATGTAGTGGCCTTTATTTGTGAGCTATCTGCCATCAGCAGAGCTAGTCTAGATATTACTGTCTTTTCATTATCCAAACAAGACCAGGGTAGCTAAATATTCAGTTATGTTAAAAGTGCATCCTCTTCTCATTTATCAGAAGTGCTAACATAAAAATATTCAGATCACTGCAGAGAGCAAAATCAACATTACTGAGAAGGAAAGCAGACCCTCTCTTCCAAATGGGAATTTTCCAGCCAGCCACATTTTGGAGATTGAAAATACAAAGTATTTATTAGGATGTTGATGCACAAGCCAGTCTTTTCTAAAGAGGAAGTATGTGCATACTGTGCAAGTTTCTGATATGCTTTCACAACATACAAAGTTCTGGGATTTCATACAGTTTCTGGTTTAGGTGCAAATTTTTTTTTCATTTTCTAAAGTTAGATTTGGTTACATGTACTTACTGCTGGTGATTAAGTATGGAATATTTCTTGAATGTCCTAGGTGCCATCATTGCTGTTACTTTTTGACAACTATATAAACAGAGATATTCTGCTCAGAGCCCTGGCATTTGCAGCAAACTTGAAAAAGAACATGAACAATGAAGATGGCACCGTAACTGAGGACCAATACAGTGAAGACTCAATTTTCTTTACACTCTGCAGGGACTCTGCCCCATTTGCTCAGAAACTGGCGTTTTTGCTGCATCACCCCGACATAGAAGTGAAAGAACAAGTTGTGAGAATATTAACACAATAGTGTTGTTTTCTAAAAACAGACTGACCTGATGAAAATATTTAATCTTGGGAATGCTATGCTAAAAAAACCTGCAACAAGCAAACAATAAAACAACAATGACAAATAAACCCTGAATACTACCATATTACCAGGCACAAATCAGTTAGTGCAAAAGAGTATTTAATATAGAGAGCATAACAGATTTTTTTTACAAGCAAGAGAAAAGCAATAGCTTAATTAACTACAGTGCAGTTAACCACAACTGTGCAAAGTTTCTACACTTGAACAAAAATTGGAAGGATTTTATTTTGCTTTAAAATCGTCACTTTAAGGAAAGCAGGCATATTTTTAAAAATATTTTATTAAGAGTCAAACATTATCTGCAACTGCAATTTAGTATTCTCGTCTTTATAAAAAAGTCTATGAGAGCAGTATCATACACATTTTTACAAAAGCTTCCTATTCTGTAGCAGCCCTTGAGCCTGCTTTCCTTGGAGAACTTTACTCCATTTTTCTGCAACTGGAACATCATTGGAATAAGTGCTTCTGCTGAATTACCCTCCATAAAGTTTAAGTCATCAGTTGAGCATTAATTCAAAATGAAGTGGAATACATATAAACATCACTGTAAAAGAACCTGAATGGAGTTTCATTGATGAACAGAAAACATACTGGAAAAGACTTCTCAAACCAGACTGCTAAAAAACTTCCTAACACTTGTATTATAGAGAAAGTAAAAAAAGCATCGGTTTTCCACTTTGTACCATTTTTAAGAGAACTGTATCACCTAAACTGTTACCAGGTGCTTCATCTTTCTAAGTTAATATACCCACTCTGCTCTTAATAAAACATTCCTATCTTCTCTTTCTGTAATGCAATAGATGTTATTTTCAGAAGGTGACTTTGTAATTAGCTAAAACTGCAAGAAAAAGATGACCTTGAAACTGCAACATAGGTATGCCCTGATCAATACAGGGGTAAAGCTACATGTATCTAATTTAACCACATAGGTAGTTTTAACTCACCAGGAATACAGTCAAGGCAGAAATAGAAGTTGGCATGATTCCCAGTCAGAACTTTGACAATTGCTGCATTGACAGTGAACTTCCCTTTCTCCTTCCCACTGCTCCTAAAACACTGCACAGTTTTTAATAAGCAAGTTACATTACAATCACTTAATGTTTTGCCACTTTTTGTAGACTTAATGTGTTCTGCTGCTGAATTTAACAAAGAAAAATAAAAGCTAGGCCAGACACTAAGAATTTACCAATCCCACTCTCCTCTCCTGATGAGACCTTAAGACTAGACTGTTCTAGGTATAGCTGATATATATGTTTACTTTAGCTGAGCAACAGAGATGTCTAGATGTCCCTTTTCATGTTCTCCAACCTAAAAAGAAATTTTTTAAATATCTTTTTGGTAGAGTTGACCTTTTATCCTTTGCTTTGACAGCTGACAGAAACAAGTGACATTTTCTAAAAATACACGAAAAGTTGTTACAGTGTTTTCTCAGTTGTCTTTTTCTGGTCTAGAAAGACCTATTTTTAAACGCTTTCTTCATAGAACAATGCTGTTGAGATGTTCTAAAATCATGCAAGACTCTCCAAAGTGCCTTCGTGCAAGGATGTCTAATTTTTTTATTCCCTACCCCACACCCTGGATGGAATCTTATCAACACCAAGCAAAACGTAACAGTCACCATTCTACCTAAAAATGTTGTGAATTAATAGATTCAAAACAAAATATGTCTCTGATCCGTGTAAGTCAGTATTTCTCTACTATGTGGCTGCTTATCTGGGTATTCTATATTTTAGTTTCACTCTTTCTAAAGTACATAATTTTCCAGAATAATCTATTGATGATTTTGCAAACAGGAAAAAAACCCAACCTACAACAAAACCAGCCTTAATTTTAACCTTGTCCTCCAAAGAACTCAAAAATTCCTGCAGCTTGGTGTCCTCCACAAAATTATGAACATGTAATATGCATTATATGACTCAAATTGTAATCAAAGCTGTTGTGTAAATAAAAGGCTCAATAGAGACTTCATCTGAAATACCCTCCCAAAATCAACACTGAACAACAGAGTAGTTTTAAACCCCTTTTTGAACAAATTCTGGTGAATACATCTACATGACACTAGAATTACCGTTTTAAATAAAGAAATCTTCATGTTTGTCAAAGATGAACCCCACCAAAGCAAATAAGCTGCTTTTTCCTACATATAAGTGTAATCTCTATTCCAGAACCCTTCCTCAGCATGAACTTGGACTAACTCATCTTTGCCTCCTTTTGCTGTTCTTTGTTGATATGAAGATCTGTAAGACTTAAAATATTTATATTGGGAAGTCCTAAAAGAGATAACTGTCTACAGTTAAAAGATTACTTCAGGTTGTTCATAGCATGAAATCTCATTAGCTGGTTTTAATTAGTTGCCAGAAGTTCATGTCTTCAAATAATGTGTCTTTTTTAAAAATTGTTTTTATCTTCATGGAATATGAAAATAAAATGTAATGCACAGCAAGAGGAAAAAAAAACAAACCACCCAACCAATAAACATATCCCATAGACCACAACAAATCATAAACAAAAACCAATTTGCCAATGAATTATGAAGGAGAATAACAACACTTTTTATTGGCAACAATAGGCTTTAATTCTGTAAATTAGCACGGCAATTTGATACAGACACATTTAGCCAAGTTTTATAATACTGAACAATGTTGTAATCTCTCATTCAACTTTAAAATTATAGGGAAGCTATAAGAAAAAATACCACAGCCCTTGCTTCAGACTTTTCACTTAAAAAGAAAAAAAAAAAACAACTTAGAAAAAGGCTGAGTCAATGCAAAGACAAGCGCCATTAAGGGATTGTTCCATTTCATGCGCTTCATTTGACACATTCGACCTAACTTAAAACATCGACCAAACAATGAAAGTGTGCAGATAACTCTGGCCAGCAGTTAGTTTTACACATCCATGGTGCAATATTAAATTATCTCTCTCTTTAAAAGGCACATTTCTTTGATCACTGTAAAATTCAGTTTTTGTGGTTCATCGATATATGAAAATGAAGAAGCACTCAGTAAAACAATTGTACTGTGCTTGTGCTTTAACAACACAGCTGTAATGGAAGACTCCACCCCACAAAACATACAGTGAAGCTATCAAGGTACAGGGCAGAACCTGAAGACTAACAAGTGGGAGATGACAGTCTAACAATGATTAATTCAAGTCAGCCATTAATCCTAAGAATATGTCCTGTGCTGAGGTTATTATTGCTGTTGCAGGTAAAATGGAGAGTGTAAAAATAAAAATTTTTATCAGTGGTACACATCAGAGTTGAAACTGCAAGTTAATCCCAGACAACACCTTTTATATTAACCAGTTTTAGATGACCTCTCAAAATTTATAAATGATATAACTAGTAAATTTGTCATGAAATTGGTATGCAAGCTTTAGTGCTGAGACTGAAAAACTTACCATGAAATTGGTATGCAAGTTTTAGTTCTAAAACCTGGCACCTAGAAATCCAATTCAATCTAAAAAATGCACTGTGTAAATACATCATATTAGTATTTGTACTGTTAATTGCTAGTTCAGATCAAACTGGGCTTACAAGGAACTGCTACGGTTTCAGTTTTCAAACATGTCATTTGTACCCAGGTCCCGTGATTCTCCATGGTTTAAGAGGAAGAAGTCATCTTTTTTCAAGCCGTATCTTTCAAGAGCTTCATTCAGTTTAACCGGAGGATCTAAGTAATACTGGAAAAAATGAGAATAATATGAGGGAAAAGATACCACTGCAACATTTTGGGGGCAGAAATCCTGCTTTAAAAATGGAGGGAGAAGGAGGATGAGGATATTTGTCAAAACGTTTGGGTTCATTTTAAGTTTTTAAATGCTAAGAATGCCGATTTATAGCTGCAGAGTAACTAGCAAAGCACAGCCCGTCCTCCACAGTTCGGTCGCCTTCAGTGTATTAACAGATCCCTTCGGAGGAAGCGCTGTCCGGCCAGCAGCTGGCGCTTTCTCTCACTCAGTAAACCCAAGGTGTCAGCGGTCCTGTCTGAACTCTTGGGTGCTGCCACTGCGGCCCCCTCAAGTTACCGCGTTGTATTTGCTACATTTCAGAAAAGGCACCATCAGGGAGAAATCACCTACTTTTTGCGCTTCTAAAGACACAGTAACATTTGTACCGTGGGCACTAGTGACACGGTTTATTGGAAACACTGTGGACAGGAAAGGTTCTGTCCAAGCCTCCTCGCTATGTTCCCTGCCTGGCAACTCTTTGCTCTGCCAGGGAGGAGGTGCACAAGGAGTTGGAAGGGACAGAACATGTGACATATCAGCAGATCACAGTATCAGGAAGGAATCAGAAGATAAAGCGGTGTAACTGATACAAGGACAAAGTTGAAAACTGGCTACCAGATAGTATCAAAGCAGAAGTAGATACTTCCCATTCACTGCATTTTTAGTTGCTGTGAAAGTACCTGGGTAATCTTCTTATTAGAACTGCAGACTTAAAGAGGGGAAGGAGGGAATAATAATAAAAAAAAAAAATTATAAAAAAATCAGTAACTCAGTAACTCAATTTTTCATATCCTTGCTGATATTTAACTCTGAATCAACTATTAAAAATACTATTCAATTTATTTACTAGACAGGTATGATTATAAATACCATACTGACCTACAGGCATGAAGTTCTTACTATCTCCAAGTGATGCACTGCTGAGTCTGCTTTTATTACTGTATATGAGTCCCTGCCTATTATGTTCCTCAGCTTTTGGATATCAGAAATCCTCCACATTTGTTTCAATAACTCTGTACTTTCTTAACAGTGGAAGTATTTTATGTAATTAGTTATGAAAAGCTAAGCATTGTTTTGAACAACAGTATATGGAGTAACAACTTGTCACTCTTACAAAGGTCACAACTGAAGTTTACCTTTACAGATATGTAGGTTTAATTGCACAAGCAAAGCTTCACTAATGACCATGTAGTACTTGAAAATCTGAACTCACGTAATAGTGTTGAAATTTACCTCATTTGCTAAAGCAAAGGTCCCCCAATGAATTGCTACTGACTTCTTTGCTTGAACATCAATATGGATTCTTACTGCTTCTTCAGGATCCACATGCTGGTATTTCATAAACCACCTACCAAAACAGAAAGTAACATTTTTTTTGTGTCACCTAATCAAGTGCAAGATTTCTTCTTTACTGTCATTGGGTAAGTTGCAAAGAGAAAAAAAAAAAATATATAGTCACCTAATCAAAAAATCATGAGCATGTAGACCTCAAGAACATACAGAACACTCAGAAGCAAGAAACTAACATATACCAACATGCCCATGAAACAGCTGTTCATGTATTGCACTCCCCTTTTCAAAGGGTTTTTTCTTACCTGTATTTTCAATAGTACAAGGACATATTACTGGTGCCTTGAGGCATTAAGGCCAAAAATTTAAATCCATCCCTGACAAAATTTCATGCTAGCAGCGCACACCAAGGAGTGTGTGCTTCAGAAATAGCTCAAGGGAATGGTGGTAAGGGAGAAGGGAGAACCTGGCACTTCTTGAAAGATACCAGATTTTTACCTTTCTATTCAGTCTTATCTTCCTTTCCCAGCCCATACACATTTCCCTTCCAGCATTATAAGAGCACTATCATCTAGAAGTTTAGATAACCCATCATAAGTAGAATAGAGATGCCTAAACAAACAGATCTTTCACACATTATAAGTGAGTCATCTCTATCTCCAGATAAGTTGCAAAACCAGCATAAAGCCTGAAGCAAGAGAAAAATGCAGCAAATGGCATGCATCTGAATGGGCTGGATTAAACTATGCTGTTTTGGGAGAAAAAAAAAAATCAC